TAAATATATTATATTTATTTTATTAAATATACATATTTAATATTAATTCTCTCTCTAATATCTATTTTGCATTATAATGTTCTTTAACTTAAAATATCGCCGCAAACTGGATCCATTACAGGCAACTTTCATCACCGGAAACTCAAGCTTCGATTGACAAAGATGCTTTCCCTATTTGATCATAGATGGGAACCTGACCTGTTCCTTGATCTGGATCTGTCAAACAGTGTCTGATCTGCAAATATAAAAGGCATCCGCTGTAACGATCTTATGAACAGTTTACTCGCAACGAGAGAACAATGTCGAGGATCCTTGTAAGTTGCTCTGTATCTCCTCATTTAATTATTATACACCAAAATTACCAATGTAAAATCTGTATACATAGAAAATATTTAATTTCTAATAAATTTTTTTTCGATTTTTCCTGATTTATTTACCACTTCTTGAGGCGTTGGATATAATTGACGATCCATTTAAGATATTAAGCAAATTAGTATTGTGTATTTTAGCTGTTCCTGACATTAGTATGTACTTACGCACTTGCGTCGGTCCCGGAAGATGCTAAGCAGAAACGGGGCATCATCGGTAATGACGGATGGATCGGTCTACCAAGTCCTTACGGATACGGACATGGACATCCGTGGTCGGTCGATCATACTCCATGGAAAGGACTCAAACTGCATGCAGGGTAAAAATATGTAATACGTTTATTAATACAAAAATAATAAATAATGATCTGTGTAATTTAGATAATATAAATTAAAAAACGATTTATAATAATACAGTAAATATATATGTCCTTATGTGTGCGTTAAGTCTCTCCCTTTTTATAACATTCTGATTAAATATTATTACCATCTGAATTAAAAAACAGACGTTATAAAAAACTCGAAAGTTAATATCCCAGCTAGCAAGCGTACGTGATTTTAATGTCAAATGACGTCATTTGCTATCTAAGATGTACTTCCCAAAGAATTAATTTTTATATTGCAAGACGTGTAACAAGCTTTGTAATTCTTGTTTGTTTAATGCTTCCTAAAAATTGTACAATAATGACAATAGTAAACATCGATAGTTAACCGTTGCATTTATTAACATCTTTTGTCGATCGATAGATTGCATTTGGCAGACGCGCTTCCGACTTATAGTAGAGATAGCATCGCCTTGACACCCGGAATTCTGAAAGCCCCCGTGTATATAACTAAGCACGTGGTGTTGGAGAAACCAGTGCCAATTCCAGAACCAGTGATCATAGAAAAGCCGTATCACGTGCCAGTACCAATCGAGAAGATCATTCATAAACCGGTCCCTGTCCCGGTACCGGTGCCTCACGTAACTATCTTTTACTTTCATTGATACGCGAGATCATTCTATTAACATTAGACCAATTAATAATTCCTTCTCAGAAAAAAAAATTTTATAAAAACATTCATTTATTCAATTTTTTTTTTTTTATATTTATAACGCTATATAAATTATTGTGTATTAATAATTGTGAATATTGAATTTAATATTCTAAGTATATTAAAAAAGTATAAACCTATATTTAAATATAAACTTGAACAGAGGGAAGTTAATGCAAAAACAATAGTTCGGTTTTAATTTTAATGCTGCCAGACTTGACGCTTTAATGAAAAAAATATAATCTGTAGATTTGATTTAAAATATAATCGAGAGTCTCTGGCGCTTCTCCTACCAAAAAACGCAACCGTGCTAATCGCATATGTTCGCGATCGATCAAAGTATTTTTCGCATGCACAGGCGGTGCCGATTCCAGTAAAGCAGCCGATCGCGGTGCCAGTGCACCAGCCGTATCCGGTCTCGGTAAAACATCCGGTGCCAGTGCCGGTTCCGGTGCCGGTTCCGATTTCGATTCATCCGCTCCCGCCGCCGCTACCGCTGATCCCGGCCGGCGGTTTTCCTGGTGGCATCTATGTGCGCGATTATGCACCCGGCCATCTTTACGCACCGCCTTACCATCCGCCGTCAAACGCCCTGCATTTGGATCACGGCATCGCCGCATATCCCCATCCCCACGGCTTTGGTCACGGACTTGGTCACGTGTTGGCGCATGGTTACGGCCACGGTTACGAATACGACCATCACCATCCTCATGCCCATGCTCATGTCCATGCTCATGCCGACCATCTTGTCCACGAGCACGATCACAAAAAGAGGAAGACTGACAAGAACTGAGGGGCGGGGGTGGGGGCGAGGAGGGGAAAAAAGAAACCCTTTTATCGCTAAGCTTTTGTAAAGAAAAACATGAAAATGATGCTTGGACAATATGTTAAAGTTTAAAAGCTAACTAAATATATGTGTATAATATATATATAATTTATTTAGATATACCCAGTCAGCCACATCTGTTCTAACAGATATTGCCAAGTATAACATGATTGAATGAAGAACACGTGTTCCAAAATCATAAATTTACAAATTTACAAGCCGCTGTACACTGTATATATTGCGAATTTATAATTTAAATTCGGTATACGCAAACTTTCTTCGAATAGCCCGGACAATACAGACCCAGTAAGCAATTTGATAACAAATTGTTGCCAAATTGGCATCAAATTCATTTTGTTTTAAAATTTGTAAAGTTAAAATTACAAAGATGTTATCTTGTAATCACAAATCATGAATGAACATTAGGAAGAATCAAACTAGAAAGATGATATGTGATATTTTTATTCCCTTTACTTTACTTTCAACTCTAAAACAAAAAGGCAAGCACACATTCAGACCATTATCGGTCCAGATGTTCGAAAGAAGGAAGAGGAGTACAAGGGAAGAGATACATCGGGTTTTTTCCTTTACATCAATTTGCGGTGTAAACTATTTATCGCTTATCTTCGAGCCCTTTCTATTTCTTAAACGAACGAGAGGCGATAACAGAGCGATAAGTGATACAATAGTGCGGCGAACGAAATCCCATCAACCTTCTTCTCTCTCTCTCTTGTCTTGAGGAACAGCTGATCCAGCTTTATCGAGAGCAGAAACGCTCTCGAATCTCACACGGTAAATACGCGACTAATATTAATAATAAACGTTTTTTTTTGCGATTTTATCGTGCTATCGAGAACAATATAAATATAATCATTGTTTTGGAAAAAATCTAGATTCCGAGAAAAATCAATGTTAGGGGTTGCAACGTCATAACGCGATAAGTGGCAGGACTTTCGTCGGCACGCGGCTGATTACAGATTCAGTGAGTATACATTTCTCGATTTATGTAAGATCACCTATAAATGCAAAGAAATTCATTTTTCTAACGTATGCTACCCGATTGTTAATAGGATATGCTGAGGCGTTAGGTTATGTTACGACTGTGATCGTAAACACGCATATATACTCGGCTATAATGATTCTATGATACAATATTGATGAGGCGACTCAAAGACTGACGAGATGTTAAAGTTGGATGAAATAGAATGTAAGAACGTGTCCAAGAAAGCGAGGAAAAATCTAGAGGACAAGAAAAATAAGAAGTTGTCACAAGAAGAATAAGCATACCACTAGCAGTGGACGCAAGTTGAGAAGCAGCATGGAACAGCATGTTATGTGTAAGGAAGAACCTGAGGAAGATAAAACGTCGATAGAACTGCTGTATCTCACAAAGGATCCTATAGCCTCTAATGTTTCCTGTAAATTGGAAGTGGAACCATCTGTGTCTAATGAGAACGATTATATTCTAGTACCTCCGTTGGAAAACTTAAAAGACGCAGGAGTTAGTATGGAGGAATTATTGGAACAGAGTATGCATAAGATCTCTAAGAATCAAAAGAACAGTAGGTGGCAACACAGTTACAAGATGATATTCTTGCGAAAGTGTTTGGCTAATGGTAATCAATCAACGGAGGATGAAATCAATCAGAGTACATCCTCTGAAATGCACGGGCGTATTCCTAAGATCGAGGATTTTACATATGAAAATTCCGGAAAAATCAAAAGGGACCAAAAATGGACGAGGAAATTCAATCCTCTGTCCTTGCATTATACAGATAAGAATAGACCCTACTTAAAGTGCTCAGCTTGCGGCGCGACCTTCTTCTGCCCGAATACGTATCAAAGGCATCTAATCTCCCACGTTCATGAAACTGCGGAGAGTTATATGTGCAATTTTTGTAATTATACAAACACAGAACTCGGAATGTTATTTGCTCACTTGACCAAGCATCAAAACCAATGTGAATTCTGCAACGAGAATCTGTTGCGCAAGGTTAATTATGAAAAGCATCAGCGCTCAAGCAGTTCGTTGGAGTTTACGTTGAAACGCGATCATCACGGAATGTTTGTCTGCGCTATTTGCGAATTGGTGTTCGATCTATCGGCTCAATTAGAAAAACATTGGTTCAAACATACCTGCAAGAGACGAAAATCCTATCAGTGCAACGAGTGTAGCGGGTTGTATGAAAACATGGAGACCTTCAAAAATCACATATGCTTGAAATGTCCCATTTGCGGCGAGGTCTACGAGAGTCTGCACAGATTGAAAACACATACAAGATGGACGAAGCATAATCTAAAGTGCCCGATCTGCTCCTACGAATTTATTCTTTCTATGGACCACAAAAAACATATGGCCCTACACAGAAAGGTTTATCAGCCTATGGAGGATTACACGCACTGTTTGCGCGCGGCCGATGGCAAGACGTTTCAATGCAATCTCTGCGACAAGATATTTTATGCCTTACCCGCCCTTTTTACGCATCTCACGGAAGAACATGATATGGGAAACGTAAAAACGGAAGAGATGACAATAGAAGATGACAATTATGAACTGAAGGAAGACGCTATTAATATCGTTGTAGTTCCTGAGTTTAAAGAAAGCGATGATTGTGACTATTTCGAAAACTGTGACGACATTGATCCTTTGCAACAGGACACCGATCTCTACGATCCATCATAAAATACGATCGAATACCAATCCCCTTGAGCTTGAGTTATAAAAATAAAAGCAACACATTTCTCCTGAAAAAAATTGTTGGCGTTTTTGCTGTCAATCAACTTCTCAAGGATTCTCATAATACTAATACTAAAATCGGACTACCAAATGAAAAACTGATACAATTGTAAGTGCCGTTTACAAATTATAGATATGTAACTTATGTATAAAACGCTATTTTTAAATGTGTATCAGTTGCTTCAGAGTTTTGATATCAACTTCTACAAAACGTTAATTTTACACAGATCATATATATATATATTTTTTTTTTTTTTTTTTTTTTACAAAAGCCTAAATTTCTTTGAAAACACGAGTTACCTCGTTACAAGCATGCCCTTAAAGCCTGAAAAAAAGGAAGTTACTTTGCACCATCAAGGTGGCACGTTCGCGTCGATCGAACTTTATTCTGATTGGAGAACGTCTAAATGGTTTCCAATCTCGTTCGTCATTTCTCGGGGAAAAAGTAGCGTGAACGAAGATTTCCGCATCCCCCTCATTCGTGTTCCATGCCACATTCATTGGCCGACATTTTCAACTCTTGAGAGCATCGTAGACGCGCAATCTATTTTCGAACGTACGTCCCAGTTGAAAGACGTTCGATAAACTCTCTCGCGTACGATCGACAAACATATATCCGCAGCACTTAAAATGTGATATAATTATTGCGATTTGTTGGATTGCCAGAGATTGCAAGCAGAGAGGCAATCGCTATAAACGTATGACAGTGAAAGTGATTGTTTCCTGTTTATTATTCGTAAGGGACGCGTAACTATATGCCTGTTATATAACTATCTTACGCAACATGATTCTAATTAATGATGCATTTTTAGAAAGCAACAGATTATTACGAGAAAAGCGAAATGTAACATGTTTAATGAACCGCACGAAAATTGGATATAATCGCGCTTCAAGTTTTATGCGTCAAACACGAAACCAAAATTGAAACCATTAGCAGCGCCTTTAAATAAATTCGAAATGATCATTTCTACGAAGAATAAAGCATTCAATATTAATATTTTGTATCATTTTTACAAAGTAACTAATTTTTAAATCTCTGCAATCGATAAAGATTACAACATTAACATTTTATAATATTTCATAATTTTTATATACTTTAAACTTTCAAATTACATTAAATGTTTTTTCCCTTTTTTGTATTATGTTTATAAATGACAATCTTTAAACTATCGAACACATAACGTGTGTAAATGTAATACAATAACTGTGTATATATAATTGTCAGTTCAGTTGTATGATTATGTAATTGATGTATTATCGCAAGGAAGTAATAGTAATATTAAATGCATATTAATATGCAGAGCAATATTAATATGCATAACAAACGGAAAATATATATTTATTTATATTTGCATATCTGTAAAGCATATATACATGGTAATATATTTTAATATAACCAAAACGGGAACTATTTTCCTCATCAAAAAGCATCGAATTAATTCTAGATAGAGTCTGAAACATGCTCGATTCACATCACAAAGGAATGTTTCCCTGCGGCAAACACTTCTCTCGATCTTCTCTCGAGTGGCAAGAATATTTACATCTAACACTGGTGTAATGCTAACCCTTTGTCAAAACCAAATATTACATTATTAAAATCGCAATCCCTTCATAACAGTAAAAAATAACATTACGTCTTCTTCTTAATATTAATAAATCTTTAAATAAAAAACTAGGATGTTATTCTTTGGCAAATAAAGTTAAGAGTGATATTGATGTCTCACGATTTTAATAAAATAAAGAAACTTGCAAGAATTTTTTCTCTGTCTCTCAAAGAAAGAAATCCAAAATATTTTGTATCAAATTATCATTTCTTTAAAAATTGAAAGATTCTACTCTGAAACAAATAATAAATTTTGATTGTATTTATATCTGTAAACTATTTTTCACATACAGATGGTGGGAGGTCAACTGTAACAATATCGTTGCAATATTATGTGCAGCTGCATGAGTTTCCATTC